ACAGACCTGAGATCAGTTTGTACAGCGTGGACTCACCTGGACGGGTATCCGGCCGCACTGATCCGGATCGTCTCCAGAACGCCACAAGCTCGAAGCTGCTGCACCGCTCGACTCGAGTCGAACCTGCAGCAACAAACAGGAAACACGTTAAAATCAACTGTGAACCAAAGTTAACGTTTGGATTGTCGGTGACGTCCCACCTCGTCTTCTTTGTCTGCGGCATCGCACACACACACACACACACTGACAGTTGACAGCAGGACGAGTGAACAGAGTGAAGAGACGTTAAATGTGAACCTGAGTCTGGAACATGTGACTCTTCATCTAATTAACGTGACGGAGACGTCAGCAGGTCGAGACAGAACAGAACAAAGCAGCGTTTATCTGAAACAGGCTGAAAACATCCAGTGAGTCAGAAACAACCACGAGCTGCAGCACTTTCATTATCATTTTACTATTATACATTTATCATTAATCATTTACTTATTATATATTTTATTATGATGTCATCATTACACATCAGGTGTGTTTTTAGTTTTTCTTGTCGTACGTAAATTCTCTGGACAAAATCAAATGTGATGACGTCATCTGAACCTTTTCAGCTCGTTCTTGTCTCTCTGATGTTTGTTCAAGTGTCTCTCATCAGTTTGGTTTAATTAGTTGTTTGATGATAGAAAAACAGGCGGAGACGTCATGATTGACAGCTGACACTGACTCCTGATTGGTCAAGTGCATCACCACAAGATAACATTTGCATCTGGAAAAATTTCAGCTTCATTTCTGGAGGAAGTGGAGATGTGGCGTCCATCTTTATTGTCTGATGTTGCAGGTGCATATCCCTCCTGAACCCTTCAATCATTAACCTTTGACCTCAGAGGAAAGAAATGGTGGACTCACGAGAACGACTCTTTGAAGTCGTTGGGTTTGATGCAGCGGACGTAGTGCGGCGTCGTGGCGTTCAGAGTCTCCATGAGAAGATGCAGAGAACTGCGGAACTGGAACAAACACAAAAACATGAGTGACAGCTGTGTGACATCATCACGGACGGTCCTGCAGCGGTCAGCTCACCTGGTGTCCCACTGTCTTCCTGTGCTCTTTGTTGGGCGCTCGAGGAATCGACTTTGCTGGGCGGACGTTCACCCTGGAGGACTTTGAGGCGGGGGCATCGTCTTTCTCGTTAAACAGATCTGCCACGAGCTGAAGCTGCACGAAGAAGCAGCGACAACATTTTATAAATATGGAGGCAGTGTCAGATTTCATTTAAATCCACTTTATTTAAACTTCTCTGACTTTACCTGACTGGCCTTCAGGATGTTGATCTGCTCCTCGTACACGGTGTCTCGGTTCTTCTCCAGAAAACCTTCACACTGATACTCCACCTGACAAACAGGAAGTGACATCATCAGCTCGTCTGTCGTCTCATGTTTTCTCATCGACACGATAAAGAAAATCCTCTTTGCTCAGATTCTTTGTGTTTTTATTCTTGTCTCTGAACCAGAACCTGGAGACGGAGGGGTGGGGGGGGGGGGTGGTCCTGAGCTCACCTTGTCAGCGAAGTGAATGATGATGAAAGACGTGTTGGACATACGAGGTTTCTGAAATTGAGCTTTGCTTGAGTGCTGTTTGTAGAGCTTCTGAGCCCAGTTCACGTCGGTTCCCTTCGGAACCTGAAACGTGACAACGAGCAGAAGTTAAAACGTTTGTTAAGGAGGAAGACGAGGAAGACGAGCAGGGGGGGGCAAAGTCCTCCTACCTTACACTCCTCGTCCAGCAGGTCCAGGACGCCGAGTCGAGCCTCGATGAGGTCGATACACGGCTGATTATCATAGAAGTCGATCAGAGTCCAGGGAATCTGCTCCTTCATGTACTCCTCCTGCTCCAGTTTAAACACGTGCTGCAAAACACAAACACACAACACATCACAAACACAATCTGCTCCATCAGCTGCAGGGAGGAGAGGACGAGAAGAAGAGGAGGAGAAGAAAGAAAAGAAGAGGAAGAAGACTCACAGAGTTAAACTGCTGCTGAAGCTTCTCGTTGGCGTAGTTGATGCAGAACTGTTCAAAACTGTTGATCTCAAACGTCTCGAACCTGCAGAACGTTCACAGACACTTTAGATTAAAACTGGACCTTTGACCTCTGACATTTATTTAACATCTAATTAGTTTGGTCCGTGTCCCATCCACTAACATGGAGGAGGTGTTTATGAGCTATACTGCAGCCCGCCACCAGGGGGCGATCAAGAAGCTTGTATGCAACTATTATGGTCTGTCCTTCGTACCCATAGATGTCCAGGACGCCGATGAAGGAGTGCTGCTTGGACGACGTGTACAGAGACATGTTGATGTGTTCCACGATCCAGTCAAACATGCGGGCGTAGATGTGCTTGGCGAGGGCGTCACGGGCGTTGATGGCCTGTTTGCTGGACATTTTCTTCACGTACGTCTCTGAAGACGTAGCCAACTTCCTGTGGCAGAGCCAGTGCTCCATCTGCTGCAGCTCCACCCCCAGCAGCCGGCTGAAGTGTTTCAGGTGGGCGTCGTCCCTCTGTAACACACAATGCTTCCTGTTAGAGGCAACGACCGCCACACAGGTGAGTTGTCGAGATGGGGGAGGGGCGTACCAAGATATGACACGACTCTCCGTCTCTCTCTGAGCAGATCTGTACGTTCCCCAGGTGAAGGATGGACGCCATTATTCTGAAAATGTTGCTCTGACTACCGTCCTTCACACCTGCCAAAACACACACACACACAGATGTTGAACAGATGTTTGACTCTATATCATCACATGTCTCACATCCACATGCAGACCACAGAACTGATGATGATGATGATGAAGATGAAGATCAGAGTCGGACTCTCACCCAGCAGCGTGAACGCCTCTCTGGTCTTTTTGAAGTCCTCGGCGTCGTTCACTCCCTCGATGAAGATGTTCTCCCCTAACGACGTGTAGGTGAAGTCTTCTGCGCTGGCTGAAAGAGACAGAACACGTAGTCGTGGTTTCACTGAGACGAGGCGAATGGTCGGTTAGAGAGAAAGACTGGACGTCAGGTCAGAAGACGAAGTGAGATACGTTCACGCCATCTGTCAAATCACTGGTGCATTCTGGTCTGTTCGACTCTGAATGATCATGACTGTGTTGAAGAAGACTTGAAACTAGAGACTGAGACAAAAACTCCAGAGGACAAAGTTTACTGATGAACTACCAGTGGAGTCGCCCCCTGCTGGTCAGTACACAGAAGACAGGTTTGGTCGTGTGTGGACTTACTGAGGCTGAGGTCTTTATACTCTGGTAAACTGGCCGAGGCACAGAGCTGATAGAAGATGTGATAATTCCTCTCGTCCTCAGCCTGTAAAACAAGTCGTACAGATAAATAACGAAGAGGCTGAATCCAGCATCCTGTAAAACACATCTGATCAAACTGACCTGGAAAACCACACGAGACTTCTCCAGCAGGTACGTCCGCATGTTGGCTCCGATGATGTGGTAGTGTCGACTGAAACCGATCTGAATGTACTTTCCAAAGCGACTGCTGTTGTCGTTTCGGGTGGTTTTAGCGTTTCCAATGGCCTGAGGGGAGCAGAGGAGATATTTACCACGGAGCCTCCACTGAGGTGACATCGTCCACATCATCACTCACCTCCATGATCGGACTGGAGGCCAAGACCTTCTCCTCCACGTTAGTGTCATTAGCTGAACCTCCCACCGTGGCAAAGAAACGCATGGCGTACTTTGCAGAAACCGTCTTTCCCGCTCCAGATTCTCCGCTCACGATGATGGACTGATTCCTCTCGTCTCTGCAGAGCAAACACAAACTTTACATTTTACTACACAACAGCGACAAATCAGGGTGGACAGTGTTGCTGCTGAATGTGTTGATAATCTTTAACACTTGTGTTTATTCCGTGTGAAGCAGCCTCAGTCATCAATGACACAAGAGTGTGATCAGCTTCAGATCTGACCTGGACATCTGTTTGTAAGCTTCTTCAGCCACAGCAAATATATGTGGGTCCATGTCGCCCATGTTCTGTCCACTGTAGGCGTTAATGACCTCCTCTCCATAAATCTGCAGCTGCTCATACGGGTTGATGGCCACCAGAACAATCCCTGAGTAACACACACACACACACACACACACACACACACACACACACAGAGCCTGAGCTTCATGCACAGCATGCGATTGTTGTGATGACGTTGACAACTGAGATCTTTGACACTGACCACAGTATGTGTAGATGTGGTTGGACTCCAGGAATCGAACCCGGAGGTTGTGCAGCACTGCAGGTTCATGCAGGTAACTGAGAGCAGTGAGGTCGTTCTCTCCCACCAGGATGTCGGGGTTACGGAGGAAAGGAAGGGGGTTACTCTTTGGACCCACAGGATACTCCAGAGGCTGAGACAGAACCAAGCAAACCAATCAACACCTGACTGTGACGTCTTATTCATGTCTCCATCACGTGACATACAGACGACCTCGGTGATTTGTCATCACTGATTCACACTGAGCACACACGTGCAGTAAAGTGTTTTAAATCTGTGTGTACGTTAGAAGCTGTTCCCTCTAACAGGATGTGGTGAATTTTACCGTTTCATCTTCCAGTTTGAGGTGAAGAAGCGATTGTCCCTCTGTGTAATCTCTGGTGATCTCTGCAGCCTTCCACACATCCTCAGGGTCCGGGATCCAAACCCGAGTGAACTGAAACGAACGTCATGAGTTCAGATCCGGTTCTGATTCCAGAGTTACAATCAAACATCACACAGCATCAGAAGCTTTCGTTTCTCTGGAGGATTCAACACGAAGAAGCAGACGACATCTCGTTCTTCACCCTCAGTGTTAAACTGAATATTTCAGATCCTTTGGATTATTTTATAAATCAATAACTCACAACTATCTTCTGATGAACGGTTCATTGTCAACATCATTTAGTCTTTGTAAATAAATCCAGTGTTTTCAGTGAAGTGTAAAAAAGAACAATTATGTTTATGTTCATTCATGTTCTGCAGCAGCCAATCAGAGAAGAGCTGTGTAACAACATGACCTCATCACAGTGTGTTTAACTGGGACACGTCAGAAACCGACCAATCACTGCGCAGCATGACACAAGCATGTAGAGCAACTCAGTCAGACACACGACTGTTAATGAGGACGCACACGCACACAACTTTGTGTGTGTGTGTGTGTGTGTGTGTGTGTGTGTTCTCATGCCTACAGGAATGTTTGTTGAGGGTCTGAAGACAAAATGAAACAGGATCAGTTTTGTGAAACTTAATCTGAAGCTGTGATTAATAAACTGTGATTGATAAACTGTGATTGATAAACTTTATACATCCACCTGTTTCACCATCACACACCCACACACATTTACAGATCAGAATCTTGAAACATTAACTGAAAGTATAGAGCTGGTTAGTAAACTGGTTGGTTGACTGGTTGGTTGACTGGTTAGTAAACTGTTAGCAGTGAGATGTGTTATTTAGCGTTCTGATGACATCATGTTAAAGTGGCAGTTGAGTGTGATGAGCTGTGATGGCGTTAGAACTGAGGAGCGTTACTGACGTGACCCCGCCTCTAACAGGGTCTCCATCCAACCCACAGATGTGAAATCCGTCTCCACCCAACAACAACCCGACTTCCACTTTATCTGATTAAAAGACAGACGGGGGCAAACTGCCCCCCCCCCCCCCCCCGCCCCTCCTCCCTCCTTCTGTTAGTGTGGGACGATAAATATCATTAGTATTTATTATAAAATCACAGCTGCTGTGAGGACTGAGAGTGAGCAGGGTCTTGATTAGACATAATAGTAATTGATAATAATAAAGTACAGAGCTGACGGACTGTGACTCAGTGACTCAACACAAACCAGATGGAGCTGCAGGATTGACCCCCCCCCCCCCCCCCCCGTCTGGATTATGTGTCTCAGCAGGTGAAGAGGATTTAAGTTCCTCATTAATGACGAGGACAGAGTCCTGCAGCCGCTTCAGAGAAACTCTTCAATATTCTCTTCAAAAATCAAAATCTCTTCAGACACTGAGGGCTGAGTCCAGGACCCCTCCCCCACCCAACAATGATTCATTCATCCCTTTGTCTGAACAAACAGTTTAAAACAGAACAGAACGAGTAACGACAATCTAACGACAAACTTTCAGCTAATAATCTTATAGTTACTGTTTTTAAAAAAAGAATCACCACCATGCAAGTGTATCCCTGACACATCTAAACTTTTCTCCCTCAGTGTGAACTCTTCAAACGTGATTTCAGAGACTCAAGTCGCCTCCAACTAGATTTTTAGAAGAATCTCAAAGATCTACAGCCAATCAGAGCGCAGAAGAGGCAGAAACCTCCTCGTCTTTCCAAGTTGACGTCTCCGTCTTCCACGTGTACGGCTCCTCTTCTTCATCCTGAGATATTTGTGTTCTTCCAGTTTCACGTCCGTCACGTGTTAGAAACCTCATGACCACGTCCACTCGCTCACTGAGAAGGTTCCAGATGTTTTGTCACATGGACTCTGACATGTTCAGGGGTTTTTTCTGGGGGTGGCAGAATAACTCTCCACAGCCTCTGTGGTCACATAAAGAACCTCCAGAACATTTTAGGAGATATTCTGGAATTCAGTGCAGGTCTGACAGCAGCTTTTTCATCTATTATACTGAAGCCTACACGTCCCAGAATGCACCTGGAGCCTCCAGCTGACAAAAACACCTGAGCACCAAAAGTGACAGAGCTCGTTCTGCTCAATGAAGATTTCTAAACAACCTGCAACAAGAAACTTTGAGACTTAAAACAAATCACCTGAACTTCAACTACACAACCTCATTTACACTGGAGGAACCGCAGGTCAGAAACACGTCATCACCTGCTCCCCGGTGACGTCACCAGGTGAGTCACATAAAGTTTGAAATTACATTGAGGTTAGTTAAGACGCGGTTTGTTGTGACACACACAGACACACACACACACACACACACA